GGTTCAATCCCCCAGCACCACATGCCAGCCAGCCCTGCCCCCTGGTGGGCTGAGCTGGCCACACACATACACACACAAATAAATAAATAAAAATTTAAAAAAAATAAAATAAAATAAAAATAAAAAAGAATCACTTGATAACTGTCTTTACAAAACTAAGACTACCAGTTGTTCCTCTGTTTCAAGTGTATACAAATGTCCAGCAGGTGCACACAGCCGAAGCCTTTACCTACTTTCCGGAAAGAATCTCTTAACTCTACACGGAGGAACAGAAGAACATCTGTTTGCCCTCCCGCACCTGAGATGTCGCACACATCAAAGTTCTATGGGTAGGCCACCTGACCTGGTTTCCTGCAGCTCAGAATCAGGGTGTGGGTGACCATTATTTGCCTTAAAGGCCCCAGAACACATCACATGCACATTACTGGACAAAGTTAGTAAAGATGCACAATACAACATCCAACATGTATCACAGCTGTGAGAAACCCTAAATTCAAATTAAGCTTTATATGTCATCTTATAAACTAATTCTAATGTAGCATATATTTGATGTATGTTTTAAATATAAAATTCTGGTTATTGCTCATTTACCACCTAGAAGTTTCCACAATATTCGAGATTTACAACCATTTCAATTCAGAGTGTCTTTTTTTTTCCAGAGTGTTAGTCTTTTAAAGGTTCAAGGTCAATAACCTCAAATGCTGTAATCTGGGAGTAACAAACTGACTAGACGATTATTGACATCTTTATTTTACAGGTAGGGAAAGGGTTCTAAAGGATTATATAATTGCTCAATACCAGAAATATCTCAGGCAGAGTAGTAGATTTAGAACCCAACTCTCCTCATACATAATCCAAGCTTCTTTTAATTGATATATTTGTAAATAGTTAATCTGATGACGCTGGTATAAATTCAACCGAAAATATAGGTCCAGTCCTGAATAAGGCCCACAACGCTGTCTGGGATCAGTAAAGAGGGTGTAAATCACGCCTAAAGTTCAGTGGACTCTTTTGCTTTAGTATTTCATTCACCCTGACTGGGCCACACCTGTGAGAAAGCCAATCAGATGCAAAACACAGCACAGATTACCAGATGAAGTTCAAAGTCAGCTTGTGGAGTATGTATTATTCTTAGCTAAAACACCACTGAAGCTGGGTGTGGTGACGCACGCCTGTAATCCCTACACTAGGGAAGCTGAGGCAACAGGATCAGCAGGTGTTCAAGGCAAGCCTGGCCAAAATAGTGAGTTCAAGGCAAGCCTGGCCCTACATAAGACCGTCTCAAAAATAAAACGTAAAATAACAACAACAAGAAAAAAAAAAAAAAAACTGCACATACCACTTAAGACCTTTCCAAATACAAGGGAACCTAGAAGAGGTAAAAAGGAAAACGATCTAACCAGCATCTGGCGATGTCCTAATCTGAAGGATCTTCAGGGCCTGACGTTTTGGCCACAGGAGCGGCTGTCTAGTGCATCAGTCACCTGTCGGCTTGCTAAAGATGGCAGTCCTGCTTAGGCCCGGAGACAGCTTCCAATCTGGGGCTGCACCCCGGAACCTAGTGCAAGGAGCCCCTCCACTGCGACAGTGGGGTACAGAAGAGCCGGAGGGCCCCTCGTACACAGGTCGCCCCCGCGCCTCACTGGGAGCAAGGAGCCGCCGGCGGGGACCTGGGTCCTTCCGGAAGTACCTTTCGGGGCCGGCCCGGGAGGCGCCGAGCAGCTCCCCAGAGGGGACCGCAATCGCGTCGGCTCCCCGCGCGGGCCTTTCCCTCCCGCCACCCGCAGTCCGCCGGGCCGGAGGAAACTTTCCCCACCTCCCCGGGGCGAGGGGGAGGCGACCCGTCTCCGCCTTCCGGTGACCTTGCCGGCCTCGCGCCCATCGCTGCCCCTTCTCCCCGGAGGGCTCCGAGCGCCCCGAAGTCCGCCCAGCACCCGCGTCCCGTCTCCGCACGACCCGCTTCACCCCCGACCCCGGCTTCTCCCGACCTTCGCCTGCGCCCCGCCACTCGAGCGACGCCCCCTTCCTCCAGGCACCGCCCCCCGCGCGGCCCTTCCCCACTAGGGGCCCTTCAGCGCCTCTTTCCGCGGCGGGGCCGGAAAGCCCTGGGGCCTCACTCACCGAAAGCCGCCCAACACCCCAAATTCCACGGCTTGCTGGTCTCCGCCGGCGCACCACGCTCGCAGCTCTTCGCCCCGCCCCGCCCCCAACCTGTGGAAGCCAATCGGAAGCCAGCGGTCGGCACGTGGGGGGCGGCCCGAACGCACGGTGCGTGCGTGTGCGCGCTGGGTGGGGCGGCCGGGGCGCGTCTCGGATTGGCTGGGCGCCGCGGGTGGGCGGGGCTCTACGTCCTGGCTCTCCTTTCTGGATCGTGCGGGACGTGGTAACTGGGCAAGTAAGGTTTGCATCAGGTCACTTGAGGTTGGCCCTGATCTTGAGGTGCCTGTTTCCCTGGCCTTCTTGCCTTGCAGGCTGCAGGCGTGGAGGGCGTGGGAGCGAGGGGTCCTCAAAGGTTGGGGACAGCACACTAGCTGTCCCTTGTCTGCACACTGTTAGTCCGCTGTTGGTGGCAGGGGTCCGCCCTGCGCCGCGGGTGGGCGGTTTCCGGTGAGGAAGGTCAGCCCTTTCGCCTGCACCCAGCTTCTGGGGACGGGCTCCTGATTATCACGGAGTAGATGCCCGAGTGTACCGTGGAGATACTTGTCCCTCACTTAGATCTCAACCAAACAAGACAGACTGTCGAGGCTGTGGCCAGCAGGTGAGTACTAAGTGCCAACGACCCAGGATTTGAAAATCACCTGAGTTAAAATACATGTAGGGGCTGGTCAAATAGCCCAGCGGATTAAAGCGCCTGCAAGCAGGCGCAGGGGCCGGGGCTTCCCATCCGGGATCCCCGGGCCTGCCGAGCCGGCTCCGCCCCCGAATTGAGACTGGGCATGGTGGCCAGTCTCTTGGAAGACTGTAAACAGCTCTTGGGAGACTGTAAACAAGCGGATCACTACTAGTCCGATCTAGTAGTGAGACCATGAACACCCTGTAGACCCTTCCCTAAAATATATATAAAAAAAAAAAAAAAAGAAAAAGAAGAAACCGTGTAGACGCACTCCGATGCTTAAATGTGAAACTCCGTGTCTTGACTGGTCGCTTTTATTCCTTGAAGTCACACATTTTGTCTTCATGGTAGATTTGTGCTCAGTGGGAACTCAATAATGGTAAATGAAAAGTCATGACTTGGAATAACTGGAGGACTCTAGAGCTAAATAAGTGTGATCAGGGACTCTTTCAGGGTTATGAAAATTCAAGAGCCCGGCTGGACAACACGAAGGTGAACCAGAAGTCATACGTCCTTAGCTACTGGAAACGCAGCCTACCGCAGCAGTGACCCGGACATGCTCCCTGCTGAAGGGGATGTATACATCAAGTTCGCCAGCTTGCTGGTGTCCGGAGGAGGGGGTACGGGGCCAGGCGGACCTGTGTGGAAGTCAGGTTGGCAGCATGCTCGCCGTCCCTTTGGGCTTAACCTCCTAAAGCATGACCTTTTCGTTCATCAACAGAGGTAACAGTAGTGGTGGTTAGTAAGGACGTGCATGCAGTGTGAGCCCAGGGCCTGGCATGGAAGGTGCTGGCGGCTGTACACAACGGCAGCTCGCGCCCACGAGGAGCTTGTGCAGTGAGTGCACACCCACTGAGCGACTGTGGAGGCAGGATGCTAATAAGAGAGCAGCCGCCAGGGTGGTGTGCGCCTGTCATCCCAGCCCTCGGGAGGCCGAGCAAGAACACAGGCTCTGGCCCGCCTGGGCTGCACAGAGACCCTGTCCCGAAGAATAAAAAACAGAGATGTCATGTAGCTGTTAAATAGCAGAGACCCAGGACTGTAAACTAGGAATTCTGTTTCTTCTCCGTATTGGGAGGCATGGTGTGTAAGAGGTATTTGTAAAAATGAATTGCATTTTTATACATACTGGCCTCATGACTCAGTATTACCCAGTGTACGTACACACAGTATGCGATTGCGTGGAAGATGTGCCCCTGTCCCTCAGAATCTTGAGGATGCTGTTAGGTACTAAAGTCGCCATTGGTCTGATCTAATTCGAAATGATGTGAATTTTGGAGAAGAAAGGCTTATCTTCTGACAAAAGTTGGTTTGGGTTAAGGGACGAAGCATGAGCAGAGGCAGGAAAGAATGTCACAGGAGATTAGATAACAGTACTGACAGACATTTCAATTCTAAAATAATGTATTGTTTAAAAGTAACATTTTATTACTGGGATTGGTTACCAAGTTGGTGTAGCTTTCAGTCAAGTCTTGGTATCTGAAGTAGTGAGTTAGAAATCACATTGAAACAAAGCTACCTTCTGTGGAAATTATTTAAAAAGACTTGTAGTGACCTGTAATCGCAGCTGTCGGGAGGCTGAGGCACAAGAATCACCACGAGTTCAGGGCCAGCCTGAACTACGGAGCAAGCCCGGGGCTCAAAAACAAAACTGTTGATACAAACCAGCTTCACTTTCACATTGCTTTATTACAATAAGGCTGACACGTCACTGCCCTTACTCTGGGGGGTGTTAGTGCAGGACAGCCCTGGGACGGCCAGGGGCGTCACCATGGGACCACCTCTGTGGTCCCTGTGATGAAACTAAGGGGTTGAGTAGTTTCTCCCAGGAAGTCACATCTTTAAAACATTGCTCTCTGAGCCAAAGTGTAAATGTTTAGAAATGGTTCAAAACAACACACTCTTAAGTTTTGTCTGAAGATGTAGACTGTGTTGGCTATTGGAAGGACTTTAGGGGTCACGCAGTCCTTTTTCCTTTTAGGGTATGGAGGTTGAGAATTTGAATAGTTTAGCTGGCGTACTTCCTGGCAGATTCTGAATAACGAGCCCCTGAGGACCCATGCCAGGTCATGCGCTGACACTAGAAACCTTTAATGAAAGCGGTAGGTGCTTTTCAGCCTTCTTTTGATTCATATGCTAGCGGTGGTGAAGTGATTGGTAACAGTCACGTGTCCTGAGCAGTCCTGCTTTTGTTGGATTTGATTGCAGTAAAGCTCTGTACTTTCTTTTACTCAACATCTGGGCCATTGGAACAAAATGTGAACAATGAAAGCAGGACCATTTGCAAGGAAAAAATTGTTCAGTGAGCTTCAGTTCAGCCTTGGTTTTAGTTTTGTTCTAAGAAGTCTTACGTGGGTAATACTCCCCAGTGATTTGCTCTGCCTCCTCAATTCTGGAAATAAAAATTAAAGCCTTTTTCACTTTAATACAATACGCTGTTGTTCTTTCTGCACCATTGAAGTACTTCACAGATTCCAGAGTATGAAAACTCACAACTACCATACTGTTAGCAAGTTGTTTTCCTTTCCAAGCCCAGACGAGGAGGGAACCCTGGGATTTGTCCCACAGTGAGATGTTTTGGTTTTCGTGGCTTGAGTAATGGCCTCAGCCTCATTCTGACAAACGAATTGTTGTAAACTAGAACAAGTTTCTCCTTTACCTAAGTAAAGTAAGAAAAGTTCAGGTCAAATTTTTTGAAGTTTTGTTGCCTATTTGTATGAGAAGTTATCTTTCTCATTAGTAAGTGAGACTAGAATCTTGGTAAATGCTACTAAGTGCAATGTCTGAAACAAGCAGATGATTCAGAAGATGTTCTGACATGGAAAGTACTCTACTGTTGCATTTGCTAGCATGTTAACAGGAAGCAACTCACAATATTGTCCATAATACATTATAGCTGGTAACAAATGTGTGACGTATTACTGTGTTCTCACTATGTGTCATTGGAAACGTAATTGATGCAGAAAACTTAAAAGATGACTTGGTACCCTTCCCACAGTATTAGAGCAACTCAGCTGTGGCCTCCAAGAGGAAAGGCGCCTGAGGTGTCCCCCAGACGCGCGCTTGGCAGGAGGAACTCCCTGACCCTGTCCCATGGAGCTATCTGCCTTACCCTTCTCTCGTTGCTGGGACAAATACCCGACACTCAAAATGAGGGAAGGAAAGGTTAAAGAAACCTCACAGTGGAGGTTTCAAGACACTGAAGGAGAGGCTGGGGCGCTGCCGCGTCCAGGATGACAATCCTCGCCACGCCTCTGAGAAACCACAGGGTAGCCTGTTGAACGGCTCAAGCCTCTCGGCCCCGCCCCGGTCCTCAGGCCCCGCCCAGTCCTCTGGCCCCGCCCCGGTCCTCAGGCCCCTCCCAGTCCTCTGGCCCCGCCCCGGTCCTCAGGCCCCGCCCCGTCCTCTGGCCCCGCCCCGGTCCTCAGGCCCCGCCCCGGTCCTCAGGCCCCGCCCCGTCCCCTGGCCCCGCCCCTCAAGCTACTTGTTGCTCCTCCAGCTGCGTCCGCCCCATAACTTACAGAGGGCTTGAGGGGACAAGAAGACATAAACCGTAACACTCTCAGACATGGCTGCATCTACCACGAGGAAAAGAGACTTCGAAACTCAGAGTCTGTCTAGGCCACGGCCCACCTGTAGACTACACTGGCTTTCTTGACGTCCTTCTTTTAAAATTGTGCATCTTTTGTAGGGCTCTGTTGGTCTCTTGGTGGTCCCTGGGAGAAAACAGCGAGAGAATTTAGAAATAAAGAGGAGATAATAGCTGAGGTCAGCTGGTGGACCAAAGCTCCTGCCTCCCGCAGCAACAGTAGGGGCCTTTATTTAGACCTTCACAAAACTGCAGGACACAAGGTAGCCTAATGACTGATAGCCCACAATGTGCAGGCAGGATGTTTTTCTCAAGACTGAGGTAGCTTAATTGCTTTAGACAATGAGGCCTCATCCTGCCCTCCCACGAAGGATCAATTTCCAGCTTTAGCTAGCGTTCCCACTAATCTTTGTTTTAAAGAAATGTTGGATCTTTTGAGACCATTGGTAATAGTCACAGGTTTTCCACACCCATGGGTGTCACCAGGATTGACTGTTGAACACGTGTAGATTGTGCCAGCTACCTACGCTGGACTCAAGCTAAGGACAAAGTCCCTGCCCAGAAGTGACTTACCGGGAGTAGGAGACAGAATAGAAGGAGTAGATGCTGGTAGATGTCACAGTAGGAAGAGCAATTTCAGAGGCTTCTGGGGTTGGGGTGCGAGTGGCCCCGAAGGGTGCTAGCGTATGAATCAGTGGGGGGGGGGGTTCAGAAAGAAGACGGTGGGCAGAAGAGTGGAGGTGGACCGTGAGGCCCTAGCTCATGGAGGACAGGGAGT